AGGATGCTTCAATATTAATACAGTGGGTCCCGTTTAAATGGATAGTCAGGTTTTCAGAATAGTTTTATCTGTATAGCCGAATATTGGAATAGCCGATTGCAATATTTGCCGTACAAACGGCAGATCTACAGTACATAAGTAACAATTTCAACACGGTTGTATTATGTACATGTACTTTCATTTCCGTTTGATGAATGTACCAAGTCAGGAAATGAATTATTTCAAGTAATTTAATAACAATTCAATATGATTTTGATGAATAATTTGTTTTTAATTGAAGTATGAAACTTATTTTCATCTTTATTTAGCACCTATTTACATTCATCCCATTCGTTGATGGCCTCCATTTTTGAAAACGGAAGTTGATTGAATACATGACTATATTACATAAACCATTTTTTTCCGGATTGATGATAAATAAATTTTAAAAAAAGTTTATTGTTTCATCTCTATCTGTATTTATATGTCATTTTCAAGCACATAATAGATATATATGTATATTTATATGGGGTGCATGTGATTTTAATTCTTAAAATTGCACTTAAAAATGAACACATATTCAATTAAATGACCAAGCACTTCCATTTAACAGACAGTCTAATTCTGATAATTTTAATTTAATGTCCAAGCGAAGTGTCATACGCAAACTGAACAGTTCAATAATTAAAATTTCACGCCGAACAAAATTGCACACAAGCCAATTATCAATGATCAAAATTAACACCCAAGCAGGTCATCACTATTGTTATCAAAACATATCGATCTACTGTGCCCACTTATGGCTTTGTCATTCTTGAGAAGAAGATTTTTAAAGAATTTTCCTATATATTTCTATGTACAACTTTGGTTGGCCATTTTGCCCCGCCCTATCTCCTGAGGTCATGATTTGAACAAACTTGAATCTACACTACCTGAGAATGTTTCCTCATAAGTTTCATCTTTTCTGGCAAAGTGGTTCTTAAATAAGAAAAAGATTTTTAAAAAATCCCACCAAATTTTCCTTAATTCCCAATTATCACCCCTTGAATGAGGGCATGGCCCTTCATTTCAAGAAATTTAAATCCCCTTCACCCAGGAATGCTTTGTGGCAAGTTTGGTTGAAATTGGCCCAGCGGTTCTTGAGAAGAAGTTGATAATGTGAAAAGTTTACAGACAGACAGCTAGACAAACTGACGGACGCATGACAAAATATGAACAGAAAAGCTCACTTGAGCCTTCAGCTCAGGTGAGCTAAAAAACTAAATTTAGGCATTAGTTAAACCTGTCAAAATGGTGATTTCTTCCTTTTCTTTGGCTTTACATAGTTTAACAGCACATCCTGGGAGACCTGTCAAAATAAACTCAGTACAATGAGTAAATATTTCTGTATAGCTTCAATGTCTTGAAAACTAATGTTATTGTATGGTATATTTTAGATTATTCATGGAAATGTAGACCTGAATTTTGTCAAGTCTTTAAAATACCAACCGGTCATATTAAACAAGAGGCCCATGGGCCACATCGCTCACTTGAGCACTATGGCTAGGAAAAAATAGAAATTGGTTTATTATTGAAAAGGTTAAATCCAAAAGTAGTCCCATGACCAATCATGGCTTTGCTATTCTTTAGAAGATGAGAATTTTCCTATATATTTCTATGTTAAACTTTGGTCAATCATTGTGACCCTTCCCTACCCCAAGAAGTCATGATTTGAAGAAAATGGAATCTACATTACCTGAGGATGCTTCAATATTAATATGATGAATTATGGCTTTGTCATTCTTGAGAAGAAGATTTTTAAAGAATTTTCCTATATATTTCTATTGAAAACTTTGATCGGCCAATTTGGCCACACCCTACCTCTGGGGGTCATGACAGAACAAACTTGAATCTACACTACCTGAGGATGTTTCCCCATAAGTTTCATCTTTTCTGTCACAGTGGTTCTTAAATAAGAAGAAGATTTTTAAAACATCCACCCAAGTATTTCCTAATTCACAATTATCTCCCCTTGAATGAGAGCATGGCCCTTGATTTGAAGAAATTTAAATTCCATTTACCCATAAGGATGCTTTGTGGCAAGTTTGGTTGAAATTGGCCCAGCGGTTCTTGCGAAAAAGTCGAAAATGTGAAAAGTTTACAGACAGACAGACAGACGCCAAACAAAATGTGATGATCAGAAAAGCTCACTTGAGCCTTCGGTAAAAGGTGAGCTAAAAAACTAAATTTAGGCATTAGTCAAACCTGTCAAAATGGTGATTTTTTCTTCTTCTTTAGCTTTACATAGTTAAACAGCACATCCTGGGAGACCTGTCAAAATAAACTCAGTACAATGAGTAAATATTTCTGTATAGCTTCAATGTCTTAAAAGACTAATGTTATTGTATAGTATATTTTGGATTATTCATGGAAATGTAGACCCGAATTTTGTCAAGTCTTTAAAATACCAACCCGAAGTATTAAACAAGAGCCCCATGGGCCACATCACTCACCTGAGCACATGGCTAGGAAAAAATAGAAAATGGTTTATTATTGAAAAGTTTAAATCCAAAAGTAGTCCCATGTCCAATCACGGCTTTGCTATTCTTGAGAAGATGAGAATTTTCCTATATATATTTCTATGTAAAACTTTGGTCGGCAGTGTGGCACCGCCTTACCCCCGGGGGTCATGATTTGAACAAACTTGAATCTGCACAACCTTAAGATGCTTCCATATGAATATGATCAATTATGGCTTTGCTATTCTTGAAAAGAAGATTTTTAAAGAATTTTCCTATATATTTCTATGTAAAACTTTGATCGACCATTGTGACCATGATTTGAAGAAAATGGAATCTACATTACCTGAGGATGCTTCAATATAAATATGACTAATTATGGCTTTGTCATTCTTGAGAAGAAGATATAAAGAATTTTCATATATATTTCTATTGAAAACTTTGGTTGGCCATTTTGGCCCCGCCCTATCTCCGGAGGTCATGATTTGAACAAATTTGAATCTACACTACCTGAGGATGTTTCCCCATAAGTTTCATCTTTTCTGGCACAGTGGTTCATAAGAAGAAGATTTTTAAAACATCCAACCAAATTTTCCCTAATTCCCAATTATCTCCCCTTGAATGAGGGCATGGCCCTTCATTTGAAGAAATTTAAATCCCCTTCACCCGGATGCTTTGTGGCAAGTTTGCTTGAAATTGGCCCAGCAGTTCTTGATAAGAAGTCAAAAATTTGAAAAGTTTACAGACAGACAGACGGACGCCACACAAAATATGATCAGAAAAGCTCACTTGATCCTTCGGCTAAGGTGAGCTAAACAACTTAATTTAGGCATTAGTAAAACCTGTTAAAATGGTGATTTCTTCCTTTTCTTTAGATTTACATCCTTAAACAGCACATTCTGGGAGACCTGTCAAAATAAACTCAGTACAATGAGTAAATATTTCATTATAGCCAAAAGACTAATGTTATTGTATGGAATATTTAAGAATATTCATGGAAATGTAGACTAGAATTTTGTCAAGTCTTTAAAATATCAACCGGTCATATTAAACAAGAGGCCCATGGGCCACATCGCTCACCTGAGCACCATGGCTAGGAAATAAAGATGCAATTAATTTTTTTAAAATAAATCCATCTACCCTTCTGCAGAGGGCTACATCCTTCCATTTCAACAAATTTGAATACCCTTCATCCAAGAATGCTTTGTGCCACTGGCAAGTTTGCTTGACAATTGGGCCAACTGGTTCTTGAGAAAAAGTTTTAAATGTGAAAAGTTTACAGATATAAGGACGTATACAAAATGTGATCAGAAAAGCTGCACTATCTCCATGGTGCTCAGGTGAGCTAAAAAAAACTAAATTTAGACATCAGTTAAACCTGTCAGAATGGTGATTTCTTCCACTTCTTTAGATATACATACTTAAACAGCACATCCTGGAGACCTGTCAAAATAAACACAGTACAATGAGTAAATATTTCTGCATAGCTTCAATGTCTTAAAAAAATTATGTTATTGTATTTATATTTTAATTATTCATGGAAATGTAGACCTGAATTTTGTCAAGTTTGCTTTAAATACACACGGTCATATTAAACAAGATATATGGGCCACATGCTCACCTGAGCACCATGGCTAGGAAATAAAAGCAGAAATCACTTCAGCATTGAGTAAAATAAAATGGGGGTTTTTGAAATTTTAGTGTACCAACTACCCAATGATGCTTCCATACTAAAAATGCCTTTACTGTGTTTGAGCAGATGATTTTTTCCCTATCTATTCATTTTTGATCCCCCCCTCCCATTGTGGCCCAGCCCTAACCGTGGTAGCCCTCATTTGAACCAGTATGACTTTGTACTACTGAGGACGCCTCCATATCTATATGATTAAACATTGCTTTTCTGTTCTTGGGGAAAAAAAATCCTTGATATTTATAGATTTCCAATTGTGGCACACCCCCTACTTCACATTCATGACTTTAACAAACTTAAATCAACACTACGTAAGAATGCTTACATAAAGATATGACCAATCATGGCTTTATAGTTCTTAAAAAGAAAAGTTTTAAAAAATTTGATTTTCCACTGTATTCATTCCTATGTAAAACTTTCATCATCAATTGTGGCCTCGTCCTACCCCTGGGGGTTATGATTTGATTCTACACTACCTGAGGATGCTTCCACTTGAGTTTCATCTTTCCTGGCCCAGTGGTTTTGGAGAAGAAGATTTTCAAAGATTTTTCCTATATATTCCTATGTAAAACTTTGATCAGCTATTGTGGCCCCGCCCTACCCCTGAGGGTTATCATTTGAACAAATTTGAATCTACACTACATGAGGATGCATCAACATGAGTTTCATCCTTCCTGGCCCAATGGTTTTGGAGAAGAAGATTTCTAAAAGATGCAATGAATTTTTCGCTAATTCATAATTATCTCCACTTTGAAGAGGGCTTGGCCTTTCATTTGAACAAATATGAATACCCTTTATCCAAGGATGCTTTGTGCCAAGTTTGCTTGAAATTGGCCCAGTGGTTCTTGAAAAGAAGTTGAAAATGTGAAAAGTTTAAAGACAGATGGACGCCAGACAAAATGTGATCAGAAGAGCTCACTTGAGCCTTTGGCTCAGGTGAGCTAAAAAGCTAAATTTAGGCATTAGTTAAACCTGTCAAAATGGTGATTTTTTCTTCTTCTTTAGCTTTACATAGTTAATCAGCACATCCTGGGAGACCTGTCAAAATAAATATTTCTGTATAGCTTCAATGTCTTGAAAACTAATGTTATTGTATGGTATAATTTAGATTATAATATTCATGGAAATGTAGACCTGAATTTTGTCATGTCTTTAAAATACCAACCCGAAATATTAAACAAGAGGCCCATGGGCCACATCGCTCACCTGAGCACTATGGCTAGGAAAAAATAAAAAATGCTTTATAATTGAAAAATTATAATCCAAAAGAAGTCCCATAACTATTCATGGCTTTGCTACTCTTGAGAAGATGAGAATTTTTCTATAAATTTCTATGTAAAACTTTGGTCGGCCATTGTGGCCCTGCCTTATCCCCCGGGGGTCATGATTTGAAGAAACTTGAATCTGCATAACTTGAAGATGCTTCCATATGAATATGATCAATTATGGCTTTGCTATTCTTGAGAAGAAGATTTTTAAAGAATTTTCCGATATATTTCTATGTAACACTTCTGTCAGCCATTGTGGCCCCGCCCTACATTACCTGAGGATGCTTCCATATAAATATAATGAATTAAGGCTTTGCTATTCTTGAGAAAAATTCTTGAGAAAAAGATTTTCAAAGAATTTTCCTATATATTTCTAAATAAAACATAGGTCGGCCATTTTGGCTCCTCCCTATCTCCGGGGGGTCATAATTTGAACAAACTTTAACCTACCTGGGGATGTTTCCATATAAATTTGATGAATTATGGCTATGTCATTCTTGAGAAAAAGATTTTTAAAGAAATTTCCTATATTTTTTACGTAAAATTTGGTTGGCCATTTTGGCCCTGCCCTACCCCCAGGGGTCATGTTTGAACAAACTTAAATCTACACTACTTGAGGATGCTTCCATATATATATAATTTATCATGAATTATGGCTTTGTCATTCTTGAGAAGAAGATTTTTAAAGAATTTTCCTATATATTTCTATGTAAAACATAGGTCGGCATTTAAAACTCTGCCCTAATCCGATGACATGAAGAACAAAACTTATTACTACATTACCTGAGGATATTTCCTCATAAGTTTCATCTTTCCTCGTACAGCCGTTCTTAAGAAGAAGATTTTTAAAACAGCCCACCAAATTTTTATATACAGTATAATTTGTCCAATCCGGCTACCGCCGGTTCCATAAAATTTGGCCGGATTAGACAGAATCCGGAGTGCAGGAAAAATGTAGGAAAATATAAATTTCGAAAATGTTTTTGTTATTTTACAAGTACATCATATACATATTATAAATAAAATTAAATGATGAAATCAATTACTATTTTGGAGTGTAGAAATTATAAGATAGTCTCACATGACTTACTGTATTTTCTTATTTGTTCACGAAGTTTGAAAGTCGGGTGAAATGTTACCTCAATCAAAATATACAGGCATGCATAATATAGGCCTACTATGTATCAAGCGGACCGGGTTTCGCTTGTCAAAGACCTCATTCAATGTATTAACAGTAATGCACAATCATTTACGATGTGCTAATTATTAGATTGAACTTTTAAATTTATGTAAAAAATTACGTCTCCCTCAACAGTGTTATGGCGCCATTTTGAAATGCGTTCGATTTTCGATCCCGATTTATATTTTGATTTGTAAATCGCGCGTACATATATCTTTGTGTTTATGTTATAATGTGGTAAAAGGAGTTAATTTTTTTAATTGTAATTTAAATCATATAATATATTTTTCAAGTGGACTGTGTCACCGCCGCATTTCACCGAGTTCGTCTCAGGGCACTAATAATCATGCTAATGTAAACACAGATTTTGAGATTATGACATTCCCCACGAAAGGTGTTAATTGCTTTGTAGTAACTCAGGTGTGGCCGGATTAGAGGGAATAATTATCGTTAATTATGATCAGTTGGGACCAGTATGGCCGTTCGGAATACAGAATAGACAGTATCCGGACTGCACAGAATTTTTAAAAATGAATTTGTTAAAGAAGTGCATGGGACTAAAATTTACGGACGGAATGGACAAAAGTCCGGAGTACTCAGAGTCCAGATTAGACAAATTTTACTGTATAATTAATTCCAAATTATTTCCCCTTGAATGAGGGCATGGCCCTTGATTTGAAGAAATTTGAATCACCTTCACCCAAGGATGCTTTGTGTCAAGTTTGGTTGAAATTGGCCCAGCGGTTCTTGAGAAGAAGTCGAAAATGTGAAAAGTTTACAGTCAGACAGATGGACGCCCGCCAGACAAAATGTGATCAGAATATCTCACTTGAGCCTTCAGCTAAGGTGAGCTCAAAAGTAAAAGATTTTTTAAACCTGTCAAAATGGTGGTTTCTTCATCTTCTTTAGCTTTACATAGTTAAACAGCACATCCTGGGAGACCTGTCAAAATAAACTCAGTACAATGAGTAAATATTTCTGTATAGCTTCAATGTCTTAAAAGACTAATGTTATACATGTAGTATGGTTTAATTAAGGAATGACTCTAATTCTTGGCCAAACTATTTGATGATAACCTGGTTTGGGTCAGTTTACGCTTTAGAATCCACAAAGCGGATTATAAAAAAGCAATAATACATCCTTAGTAACGGAAGTGATATGAAACAAGGGGAGGTAATAACTGATTTACAGATCTAGCAGCCATGATGTTTGTTTACACGATGTAAGATCGAGCTACTGTTTGAAGTAAAAGGTACATTTATTAAATCTGGAATTTCCCATGAATTCCAAGGACTGGAAATGAGGGGATTGTATGGATACAGATGATTCAGCTGGTTGTCAAGGGGGTGTGTCCCCATACCAAACCAGGCTATTAAGAAATAATTTGCATTCCTTTTTGGTAATCAATCAATCAGAATGAGAGACTAGAATACAAACAAAACAAGAGGCCCATGGGCCACATCGCTCACCTGAGAAGCTTTGACCATTCTGTTCTTTACCAGATTTCCTCCTTGTTATACATAATGTATCCCCACCCTATCCCACTGATCATAATTCAGACATTTTGAAATCTACTCTACCCCATGATCCTTCCATGGGCACATATGTTTCAGCTTTTCAGGCCCACTGGTTCCTGAGAAGATTTTCAAAGACTTTTCCTATATATTTCTATGTAAAACTTTGATTCCCTATAATGGCCCTGCCCTTCCTCCGGGGGTCATGATTTGAACAATTTAGAATCTACACTATACCAGGATGCTTCCACATAAGTTTCAGCTTTTCTGGCCCAGTGGTTCTTGAGAAGAAGATTTTCAAAGATTTTTCCTATATATTTCTATGTAAAACTTTGATTCCCCATTGTGGCCCCGCCCTTCCTCTGGGGGTCATGATTTGAACAATTTAGAATTTACACTTTACCAGGATGCTTCCACATAAGTTTCAGCTTTTCTGGCCCGATGGTTCTTGAGAAGAAGATTTTCAAAGATTTTTCTATATATTTCTATTTAAAACTTTGATTCCCCATTGTGGCCCCGCCCTTCCCCCGGGGGTCAAGATGTGAACAATTTAGAATCTACATTATACCAGGATGCTTCCACATAAATTTCAGCTTTTCTGGACAAGTGGTTCTTGAGATGAAGATTTTCAAAGATTTTTCCTATATATTTATATATAAAACTTTGACTCCCCATTGTGGCCCCGCCCTTCCCCCGGGGGCCTATATATTTCTATGTAAAACTTTGATTCCCTATAATGGCCCTGCCCTTCCTCCGGGGGTCATGATTTGAACAATTTAGAATCTGCATTATACCAGGATGCTTCCACATAAGTTTCAGCTTAACTGGCCCAGTGGTTCTTGAGAAGAAGATTTTTTAATGACCCAACCCTATTTTTTTTCTTTTCTTGATTATCTCCCCTTGCAAGGGGATATGTCCCTTCATTTTAACAATTTAAATTCCCCTTTACCCAAGGATGCTTTGTACCAAGTTCGGTCAAAATTGGCCCAGTGGTTCTTGAGAAGAAGTCGAAAATGTGAAAAGTTTACAGATGGACAGACAGACGGACAGACAGACAGACAGACGGACAAACAGATGGACGGACGGACGACGGACAAAATGTGATCAGAAAAGCTTACTTGAGCCTTCGGCTCAGGTGAGCTAACAAGCAAATTCAAAGAATTGTGGTCCCCCGCTTTCGGTATCTTTGTGGGTGAGATGTTATTTTTATGACATATTGTCTGTAATATGAACATATACTATCATATGTCATTTATTTAGAAAGTAACACTGAAGTTGATTTTTGTTTAAGGATGAAAACCCTAATCCTGACCGTTAAAAAGTTGTGACCAAAGTAAAATTTTTTTCAAAGTAGGTCAACTCCAAGGTCAAGATCAAAGGGTCAAAGTTGTTGATATCCAATGAAAGGTTTTTTCACAAGGATTACATATGTGAAGTAGGAAAGCCCTAGCTTATACTGTTCAAAAGTTATGGTCAAGGTTAATTTTTTTTTCGTAAGTTTGTAAATCTTTAAGTTCAAGGTCAGAAGATCAAAGTTGTTGATATCTAATGAAAGGACTTGCCACAAAGATTACATATGTTAAAAATAAGTCCTAGTATCTACCGTTCAAAAGTTGTGACCAAAGTTAAAGTTTTTTAAAAAAGTAGTTAAAACTCCAATGTCAAGGTCAAAGGGTAAAGTTGTTTGTATCCAATAAATAGGTTTTCTCAAAAGGATTACATATGTGAAGTACGAAAGACCTAGCCCTCACCGTTCAAAAGTTATGGTCAAGGTTAAAGTTTTTTTCATAAGTACGTTAGTTTCCAAGGTCAAGGTCAAAAGGTCAAGGTTGTTGGTATCCAATGAAATGTCTTGTGACAAGGAATACATATGTGAAATATAAAAGTTCTAGTATCTACTGTTTAAAAGTTGTGACCAAGGTTAAAGTTTTTAAAAAGTAGTTAAAACTCCAAGGTCAAGGTCAAAGGGTAAAAGTTGTTGGTATCCAATGAAAGGTTTTTTCACAAGGATTACATATGTTAAGTATGAAAGCCCTAGCTTTTACTGTTTAAAAGTTATGGTCAAGGTTAAAGTTTTTTCATAAGTACGTAAATCTCCAAGGTCAAGGTCAAAAGGTCAATGAAAGGTCTTGCCACAAACAATGCATATGTGAAATATGAAAGTCATAGTATCTACTATTCAAAAGTTATGTCCAAAGTAAAAGTTTGGAATTTTTGTTTAAAAGTGGGTCAAACTCCAAGGTCAAGGTCAAAAGGTCAAATTTGGTGGTACCCAAAGAAAGGTCTTGTCACAAGGAATACACCTGTGAAATATGAA